TTTTTAGTTCTGCTATTAATTAGGTAAAAGTTCTTAAATGCAGTTACTGATGAGAATACTAAATGGAATAAATGATAGGTTACCTTTTTACGGTTGGCCTTCAGATTATTAAACCAAAAATGTCATTTATAAGTCTTGAATAACTATTTTTACTATTTAATTCTATTTATATTACAGATCAAGATAAAACTGAACGATCCTAACGATCTGTTTAGATACTTGTTTGGAATGTTCAGCATATCAATACACTTTTATTATATTTTTCTCCCGGGTCAAAAAATTATCAACAGTAGTGAGGAAGTATTCCATTCTTGGTAATTCATTAATTTATTTTTTACACTAGTATATTAAGTTATGTAAAAATTACATGATGAATATTTCAGTTATGCCTGCAAATGGTACAACTTATCAGAAAAAACAAAAAATTTGATAAAAATTATGCTATTACGAAGTTTAAAGCCTTGCTACCTAACTGGTGGAAAAATGTTTACGATGAGTATGGATACCTACTGCAGCGTAAGTTCCAACTATTTCTGACCAATTCTATAAATTTCTGATCAAAACAATAACTTCTTATATTTGATGCTTTTAAGATGATGAAAACAGGCTTATCCGTGTTTACGGTGCTGAATTCATAGATCAAAAATGCTGTTTCTCAATACATGTATTTTTTGAATTTTAGTACGTTAAAACAATTAAATTATATTAATGTATTACCATATTGGAAAATTAATAGAACTATATGCAATTACACTTTGGAGGAAAAACTAATGATTCTCATTGCTACTTATATAATACGTGTTAAGTTTAATGGGTAATCTTAAAATTTTTCATAGACATTTTATACAAGTATTCAATAAAAAGTATTAAAATATTGGTGAGTATTCTGACAAAGAAAGAAAATTTTTTTATTAACTTATAATTACAAGACAGTAGTGCAATTTTCAGAGTGATAACGTTATCATTCTTTATAGAATAGTGCTGATACTTAAGAAAAATGACAAGTTCCGTGAACTTAGCACCTTTTAAGGTATTCACAAAAAACAATAGTAACATGTGGTACATACAGGTTGAATTAGTTTTTATAAAACAAGCCGAATAGCACAAGTGACATCTTGTTAAATAGGACTTTGACAGAGAAATTAAAATAAGTACCCCTATTCATTGTAAAGAGATTTTTTTTTCAGGTTACTGAGATAGCCTATTGGCCTAGTCACTGGAACAACCCCCTCAACACCTTGGGGGTTTATTGCCACACCCATAATCCAAGCTAATTAGTATTTTCGAGAAGCTTATATTTCAGGGATCACTCCTCATCAGCAAGACTGGTGCACCCTGCCTATGGAATTGGATCCGCAAAGCCCTAAAAATGTTTTACATTTATCAAAGCCTAAAAACCTTTGGAGAAAGGAAAAATCTGAAAATACATTCCACGGAAAAACCTGCCCCAGAATAACCAAACTTCATAGGGACTTTGAAAACAGCTTTTTAAAAAAGTGCCCCACCCACCACTGCCACAAGATAAGGCGAAATTCGATAATTATCAATATTATTGAAGTTATTGAAGTTATATTTCTATAGGCGCATTCTACCCTACAGAGGAAATCAACGATTTCAGATTGGTGAGCTAGAGAAAAAGTGTTATGGAAGTGGATTTTACTTGGTTCTCCCCCATTGATGTACTTCCGGTTACCTCTACACCACATGACGCCACACATTTTGAATTACAAAAAAAAAAAAAAAAANTGACCTCTTGCATACTGGCTAATATCCTTATCCATTCTGCTATAAGCGTGCCCAATATAAAAAATTCGATTACTTCATATGATTGTACAGTTCATTGCTTATTTTTAATGTAAATTGTTATTTACTGTGTATTATTTAATTTGGTTTAATAATAAATTGAGAATATAGATATTTTATTAAATAAAATATTTTTTTTAAATTCATGTTTCGAAAATTTCGACATTGGTATATATTAACAGAGCAGCTTTTATATTATGTAATAATGAACATTTATTTACTTATTATTAATTTGTTACTATTAAAATGAATACACAATTGTTTACACAATTTATGATATTTTTTCAACATTCTCAAAGATAAACAAAAAATTTTTTTTACTGTACAAATACAATAATTAATTTCTATTGTGTTTTGTTCACCTATAAATATTCCATTCGTAATTGAAGTGATTTTGTGACTTAAGGACGTTCTCCACACAGTTGCCGGGGAAATAGTTCAGAGAAGAAAGAGAAACGTTAATGTGTGCAGTAAAGCTAGCAATTGTTTTTCTCATGTGGATGTACTCACATACATGCTTTTACGCACACTTCATCCCCTCTTTCTAAATTCATTTGAAAATCAACTTGTAAATCTATTTGAAAATTTGATAGGTTTATTTACAAGTAATCTTTTGTACCCAAAAAATTGGGAGATTCCTACAAATCAAATAAATGCTCTTTAACGTTATATTTTCCCAAGGTTACATGTGTTACGTACGATAGCATATAGCTATGCGTGCGTGCACCTCCATTGGCTTGGGCCCGAAAGGTAGGGGAATAGGGGAATAGAGAGGAGAAATGATAGGAAAAGGAGAGCGAAGGGATAGAGTAAAAAGGAAATCAGCTAGAGACACTAGAGCGGAAGGACTGGGCCCGCGAGATTAGGACACGCGCAACTTCCCTCGAATATAAGTAATTGCAATAAAGCACAAGTTAACCACAAGTCGGCCTATTACTTATTCCCCCACCGTCAACCCCACGTAACAGCTGGTGGAAGTGGGATACAGACAAAATTTTTTTACAGTCTGTCGTGTGAGTGGAAATCACTTAGTCTCGCAAAACAAAAAAAAAAAATTTTTTTAACTATCTTTTTCGATTAATCAACGCAATAAAATAAAGAAAAAAAAAATGGTAAGACAAGCCCAGACAGCAGCCCCAGACGGGATACGAAATACATCACTCAAAAGTAGGAAAAAACGGGATAAGCGAAGGTAGGTTAACTCACAGAAGGATCAAAGGCCAACTCATGGAGACACCAAGGATCACCACTATACTGAACATCGTGACAGGAATCTAGTAAGTAAAATTTCACTGTTTTTATGTACCACACTCATAACCCCCGAAAAAGAAACCCACTCAAAAAAAAAATTTTTTCATATCAATATAATAACTAAATCACAAAATCTAAGGAACTTTGTTGTGACACATAATTGCATGCACAAGCATGTACCCAATATACAGGCGACAAGCACTCGAAAAAAAACTTTCTAAACTAATTAATGAATACTAGCAGCCCCCCGTCTCGCCTTCGCCCGAGACTTACTAAATAAAACACCGTAGTTTGTTGACATGTAATGTGAAACGTTTTCAGATAGAAATTTTACACATATTCCTGACACATCTCAGAACAAAAATCTTCTAATTAAAAACATATTTTTTCAGAATTCATATAGCTTATTTGGTAAACAATAAAGTGTAAAAATTCAAAAAAATAATTATGCTGAAAAGTATCGTGCGTTCTTTATGCCATAAAATAATCGGTGGCCATAAGAAGCCGTTGATTCACAGTTTCTCCCGTGTAATTCACGAAAAGGGCTATTTTTTAAATCTATTTAGATTTTAAACCCCCAAAAAGTTTATATTAAAAAAAATTTTTTTCTCATATCTCACAACTTTATTACCAGAGTAACAAAGTCCTGGAAAAAGAAAGAAAATTTTTTTATTAACTTATAATTACAATTTTTATTGCCACAAAAACACAAATACATTTTCTACTTATTCAAAAATCTGAAGTAGGATCTTTAAAGATTTCAGAGATTGCTGTGAGGGTACAATGAAAAGCTGATCTGTCACGTTATGGATTCTTTATTTGTCGATTTTGACGCTGCTGTTCCAATCTCGATAAATTTTCTGCGTCAGTTTCTTGACGCCTAAGTAAAATTGTATTTATTAGATACATTTAAAGTTTTTCTTCCAATTCACCCTCTTACGACTTTTGGCATGCTTAAAATTTTTTTGACCCCTAAAAGCTGTTTTCTGGCAACTTTGTTAAGTTCTAATATATTTGTTGGCAAGGTAGTTCGACGTCCGATGGCCCTAAAAAAGACCGGTGAGCTTCTTAAGTTAACTGTTTCTTGACTGCAGTTAACAGCAATTGTGACTGCCTGGATACCTTCTGTTGAAAACCCAGACTGATCGGGAGAAAAATTACAAAGTCCGAAGCTTTTGGGCTAGTTGTAGTGCTCTTTTCCAACGTCTTCCGGTACAACGTCGAAGACGTTGGTGTCCAAAGCACCTTTTTATTTGCAGATTCAGTTGTTTTAGTAATCTTAGATGGGGAGATTGGTTAGTGATACTTGTCCAGTGGAGGCTGTCCCGTTGGCTCAAGTTTTTTCCTTCATAGCTGTTATAGGTTTGCCCAGCGCAGACCTTGGAGAGGATCAGTGATTCCTGGTTGAATGCTTAGAGTCGAGAGGGTAATATAGGGTCGTCGGTCACCGGGTTTTCCAGCCTTGCGAAGAAAAACTTCGCATGTGACGTCTGCTAGTGAATGGCTGACTTGGTTTAATAGTGCCCGTCTTTAGTTAATATAGTCTTTTAGTCGACGAATCGCTTACGGAAATGGTAGTAAAAATGTATTTGTTGGCAAGATAGTTTACACTTAGGTGGCCCCTAAAAAGAACCGATGGAATTGATGGTTAAGTAGGGAACGTAAATACTTATAATGGCCCTAAAAAGTGCCAGTGGTGAAACTTCCAGGCTACTCTTTATTATTATTCCTAATGATAAAGAGCTGGCTACGGGTAGCTTGATTTTTACCCTGGGAGTCTCGATGTATGGAGACTGTGATGGAGGGAGGTACTCCAATGACCAAAGAATATCTCGTCTTCGGGTCGTTACCCGGATAACCAACCGCTCATCGTTGGACAGTAACATGTGGGTAAGCGCGTTGGGGACGCGACGACTAAGAAGGTAGCCGTTGTGGCTGCCCGTGCCCCTCAGAGCTGTTTTCCCTGGCTTACATGTGTAGCCAAAAATTATCTGACCGCACCAGGTAGGATGGTGGGACTGCCATACAACTCTGAAGAGTAGGTGCAGATTGTGCTCTGGCTAGATATGTCTCCTGGTATTATGCCATAGATGTCATCGGTTGGAATAAATTTTTTTTTTTATCGCACTCGTCGAGATTCAGAGTGATTAGAGACCTAGGTCACTTCCCTCCTAGAGAAGAGAGTCGTCCGTAACCAGGATATCCAGCTGCAAAACTACCATCAGCATTCTCTAGGCAGTTCGTTGAACTGTTGAAGCACGACTGCATCACAATCGAGACGCTCCGGCGTATTATAACCACACTTACTTAATTCTGTCACAGGTAGCCTCGATTTTATGTCGACGCTACCTAGCGGATTTTACTGAACTAAAGTGAAAAGCTGGCGTATTTTTGCAAAACTTTGAGCTCATTTATTGCTATTACTATTAAATTTTTTATGATAAAAACTATACTAAAACCATCTAAGAAGTATCATGAATCAGAGTAAAAAATTTTAGCAAAATCGGTTCAGTAGTTTTCGCGGTTACAACGGTCTTAGCGACTTTGCTTTATATATTAGTAAGACAAGTTGTAATTAACCGAA